AAACTTTGAACAAATGATTTTTTCTTATTTTATATTTACGATAACACCCGAGCAATATTTAAATAAAAATCATTACAAAATGTAACGTTATATTAAAAATATTTTTTACTTTTCATTTACCTGTTGAGTGGCAATTCCGAGGGACTGGAGAAAAATGATAGATGCGTTTTGGTAACTTTTATATTTCCCATTCTTTTTAGGAGAAATTTGGAAATTTGACGAAGCGGAAAAAAACGATTTTTCTAAGGAGTTATCCGGTGATACCGAATATTGGAACGCAGGTTCAACAAAAATTGCTATAGAAAAAAATACTCCATGCACTGTTAAAAAGTATTTTTATAGACAAGGGTGACAAAGAGCACGCAGTCCACTTGATTGTAAATGCATGCTGTTTCTCACAGACATCATCATCTTTCCTTAATTAAGAATCAAAATGCAGTAACGTTGTCACCACCGAGGGCTAAGATGCATCATTGAGTAGGGTAGGGTTTCAAGAAATCTAGAGAGCGTGGTCCTTCCCCTATAGAGACGCCTCATTTTTTCGGTCATTGTAGGCCACAAAGTGGCTTTACCACGTGTGTACTATATAACGTACTGTTGCTTAAATAAGCGCGTTTTTTCCATTCGTCGGCTAAGAGTCCTAAATTACTAATCCCATTTAAGTTATAACACATTTTATATCTTGTAACGGGATTTTCTTTAAATGAAGAAATATTTGCCTAAATGTATTATAATAAAACATTTAATCTATACCAAAAAATAAAAATAAATCCAGAAAAATATTTTTTCTATAAAATATTGTATAAAAAGGGTCTAAGTAATACAAGAATAATACCAGGTGGGAATAAGATGGTTACTACCAAGTTGTTTCTTATCATTAACTTATATATTACTTGTGTTTCTAATGTAAAATGCATGTAATAAGTAATTTTATAACACAGATAACGCATTAAAACGTTCTTTTTTTCAAAAACGTCTCACTGGGTTTTATAACGGTGACCATCAAACGTGACCATCAAACTGGAAATTCTCCTATCGTAGAGGTATTTTACATACATAAATTTAACATGTACAAATAACCACGGAAACGTCGCTTAGAAACCTGGCATGTCTTAGGAAAAAATATTAAATGTACACGTGGAGTACGTCACACGCATTGGAACCGGGTAGCGATCTCCACAATACTTTCAGAAATGATTGGCCTGTGCCTAGCAGAGGAACATATATAGGCTTTACAGTTTTCTCTTTATATTGTTCAGTATTCGTACAATAACAAATAAATCAGCTTACTAAGTCCCCGCTATTACGTCAGATTTTATAGACAACAAACCCTCACTAAAGAAGATTGATTCCCACCAAAGATGACACGTCAGGCTATAGAAATAAAAAAACATCTTAATTCAACAGAGAAGGAGGCCATCTACTTTTAGCTGCTTTTTATAGTATATGGGTGACAAACGAGCACACAGTCCACCTGATGTTAAGTGGATGCTGTGGCCCATAGACATCTATATTTATCTTCAATTAAAAATCAAAATGCAGAGATGTAATGCCTCGTTTCCAGTAAAAAGGGTCTCCGGTTTTCTACACTCACCGTATGAAACAGAGCACCATTAAGCTGCAATTATACACTGGTATTCTGTGAGTTCGTGGTTCTACCCCGGTCGAGCCGACCCATTCGTGCAGCAACCACAATATATACATATATAATATTTTTTTTTATATATATATATATATATATCCCCTAAATTATTCACCACTGCTTTGGAAGACGATTTGAAGTCCCTGAATTGGAAAGAGTAACATCAATGGCGAATGCGTAACTTACTTTCATTTTACCGATATAGATATTATGACAGAATCTTTGGAAGACCTTAGCTGTTCTAGGTTAATTAATAACTTTTTTAAATGCAATGAAGCTCTAGGTAGAATAAGAATATGTAAATTAAATTAATTTATATTGTTATATAATCGCTTTTTAAGCTCATACACCTTGAATAGCGTTTTGCAAGTTGGTTAATTCCTTTGGAAGAAAAGGCTTGATCCTGGGATCAAAAGATCTATACACAACACACCTTCTCATTATCGTTTTTGAATCAGGAGAAGTTAGATTCGAAGAATATGGTGGGTGCTGCATCAATTAAAACCCACAGCAGCTCTGATGGCAGTGCCTGCAACATCAGATCGATAGGCAACGGTATTATCACAATGAAAGAGCACACCAGCACGCAATTTTTCTACACGTTTATTCTTTAGTTCTTCGCGTATTTTTATGACTAACCATGCGTAATGATCTTCAGTTATTGTTGTTGTCTTTATGTAAATAGTTGATCATTATTATAATTTCCGCATCCCACAAGACAGAGGCCATTATTATCCCAGCGGATACAGACACCTTGAATCTCCTGGCTACCGGGGATGACGGTCTTTTCCACATCTTGCTTTGTTTTTTCGTCACTGGGTCAAAATTATGTACCCACGTACTATCATCTACGGTTACGAAACGAGCGCATAAGAGAGCTTTAGCTTTGAAATGTCAAATCTCGCTTTCCTTTGGGGGTCTCTTAACATACGAGGAATCCAGCGTGTGGTTATTTTTTAAAATTTTAAGCTGCGAGTTAAATAAACTGATTTTTCCTAAACGAAAACTTTAGAATCCCAGACAAATAACGGTTAGTCACCCATCATTTTACCTTAACAATTTCTTCGATTTTATTAACGTTTTCTAGCTTAGCGGCCGTTGTTGGCCGCCGGGAGTGTCGTCATTCTCTCTTTTGTCTTCTTTTTTCCGTAGTTTACCACTACAGAATAAGAGGGCGATTAGGTATCTATCAAAGTATATTACTTTTTTTTAAACATTTTTGTAGAAATTTTTTTCTGGCACAAATATTACTATACTATATATTACTAACGAATAGAAGATTCGAAAAAAATAGAACGCATTTATATAACTAATTTAAAAGTGTAATGCTTTTCCGAAAACTCATTGATCAACCTAGTGTTATGCTTAATGACCTCAATAGTGCTTCTCATCGATAAGACAAGGGTCATACGCAAAAACTATATTTATAAAATTGAACACGTGTAAGCTTGCCAAAGACAAATTGGCAGGTGGATTGGAAGTCAATCGACGTTTCGACTCGACTGTGCGACGTTCGGGAGATTACGACAAATCAACTCGTCATAATAAACATTGTTATTTTTTTAATTTTCGGTTCGTTCTTTTAGTCCGATTGGTCTATTTAACCCTTCAATAAGCACACGGTCTATAGCTGGGGACTGAGGGGTTAAGTTGTCTTATCACTTGCCTGAGTCCTATCATAGCTTGTGTGGCCGAAGTTGGAAAAGGGGAGATCTCCCGCCGGGCAAGGTGTTCTGCCCGGAGAGCAGCCAACGCTCCGAGTGATAGTTCGGATAAGTTCTATATATGCTGTCTATGATTCGAAATGTTGATAGCGTGATTTAAGCTTCGGTGTATTTCGCTTGTGGCGGCGACGGCAGCGCCGCTACATCACCCCCTGCTCAGACCGGAGGTCGTTAGTGCAGCCTTGTTGCCGACGAATGTGCAAGTGCCAGTGGATTGCCTTGTAGTCTGCGGTGAGTCGAGAAGAAGGCAAGTAATCTGCGAGAGTGCCGTGAAGCAGAGGCGAGCAGTAAGGCTCAGAGCCGTGCCGAACACTGTATAGCGCAGAGAGTAGCTTGAAGGAACAGGAAGCATTATTATTCCAATGCTGCGATGAACCTTGTGAAGCTAGATGGCTTGCAGGATATGAAGACTGCAGTTTATATCTGCTCGGGAGCGAATGGGTGGGGTATTCTACGACGATGATGAAGCTTGAAGTTTCCGAAAGTTGTTGGTTGCGTGTTCAGATCACGTCGGGGTCACCACTGTGGCCGAAGTTGGAAAAGGGGAGATCTCCCGCCGGGCAAGGTGTTCTGCCCGGGGAGCAGCCAACGCTCCGAGTGATAGTTCGGATAAGTTCTATATATGCTGTCTATGATTCGGAATGTTGATAGCGTGATTTAAGCTTCGGTGTATTTCGCTTGTGGCGGCGACGGCAGCGCCGCTACACTTGCTTTATGGTGCTTTTTTCTGCGAGAAACCACGACGAAACCCTTAGATATTTTTCAAGGAATCGTTTTGTAGCAAACTCATTCCGAGAATATTTTTTTAAAAAAATTCACGAACTTATTGTTTATTCTTCACGCTGGTGCACGTGGTAAATCGGTACAAAAGTAAAAGTTTTCATGATTTCACCTCCTATGTTATTAAGTCATTAAAGTTTAAAAAATATTTAATAAATAATTTAACAAATATCTAAGCAGAATGACTTAACTACTTTAACTTAATTATTTTTTTTATATTTTTGCATACTAAAAATTATTTAATAATTAAGTATGATGTACAGAAAAGTTTACCGTTGCTGTTACCGTTACAGCCTATCAAATTCCACTTTTAAATATAGGCCTCCCCCAAAGATTATGCAACGCTGGGAAAGAGGGTTAACAATTGCAGTTTTTTTGTTTTTAGTCGTTATAAGGAAGATGCTGCTGCCCGTCTCCTGATTTGTTTCCCTCTGTCGGCAATCACGACGCCCGTGGGTTGATATTCTTACACCGCTACTACATGGTACACGATACAGAAAAGCTTATAAGCTTATCATGTAAAATCGTATTGACGAAGTTTAGGAATGATACTTATACAAAATATTTTATAGAATAATTTATGTTATGCATAAATATTGTGTTTAAGTATGTATGCCAATTTAATACTGTCAATTTTCACAGTGATTTAATGATCATCTAGTAACGTGACTTCATTATTTTCAAATCACCTTATTATTTGTTACTGCTGTAGTGAATATTCAGAAAAAAATATTTATATCACATATCGAGTGTTACAGGATATTTCTGAGAGTAAACATTTTGGGAACTAATTTCAAAATCAATAATATACAACAAAACAATATAATTATTTCAATATATTCTTAGAATAGTTTTCAATAATATCCTAATTTCTGGGCTTCTGTTGCTAGGCCTAATATCATTTGCGTAACTTCATCCCCTTGCTCGTAAATTCTGGATGGAGGCCAATGGAAGGAGTTTCCACGCAGCTCGTACGTGTATACTAGAGGAGTGGCCAAAGTGTAACGGACCCAGTCCATACTACCACCTGAAGCTTTGTCTGTGAAAAAAAAATAATGAGACAAGATTTTTATGACGCCGTATGATAGCGGTGTCAGAAAATAAGTCACGATATCGTATATAGGAAAACTCAAAAAAATGCAGTATAACCTCTTCTCACTTACAACAGGCGTGGGCACCTGAGAGGTAGCAGTTCCAAAGATGTGAGACATCTGTTATTACGATCGTCAATTCGTCAGTCAAGCGTGACGACTAAGGCAAATCCTCTAAGTAACGGGAGAGGCTCATGTCTAGCTGTTAATTTTTATGATAAAATAAGGAAAGCTGTGGTAGAACAAGGGTGGGGCAATCACCCTTTAGTTCAGGAAATTCGAGAAACACTTTATAAATGCAGAGCTTACTAGATAATCGTCTCAGTTATATTTAAATAATATTGATTATATACTTAAAAGTACTTTAGTAAAGAAAAGTAATTTCAATGAGGGCTAATAATGATCTATACATATGATGTAGCTAGCATGCTGTAGCTATGCCTAATGGTTTAAAATTGAGAACTTGAGTTTGAAATAAAAGTTTATTGGTTTCTAGAGTATTATATAAATACATGAAATAAAGCCTTAGCGGTTAGCTCTTTAAGCTTTTGCACCTTTTTTAACTTATTTAAAAATTTAAAGAAATAAAATTCCCTATCTGATTAATATAAAATATATCTAATATTGTAGAAAGAAATATAAATCCTTACATATCCCTACCAAACTAACTTCCCCGCCATGCATTTATATATATCATCATTACAGCCCTTCACAAGTCCACTGCTGAATATAGGCCTCCCCCCAAGTAATGCCACAAAGCACGCTCCTGAGCCACCTGCATCCATCGACTTCCTGCATGTCTTTTCAGGTCGTCACTCCGTCTAGTGGGGGGTCGCCCTACACTACGCCTACCGTACGAGGCTGCCACTCGAGAACCTTTATTCCCCATCGGTTATCGGTTCTTCGAGCTATATGGCTGGTCCATTGCCACTTCAGCTTGCTAATCCGTTGGGATATGTTGGTCACTCTGGTTTTACTGCGGATATCCTCATTTCGGAGTCTATCACGCACAGAAACTCCGAGCATAGCCCTCTCCATAGCTCGCTGAGCGTCCTCATACGGCCAGCAGTGAAGGACCACGTCCCAGATCCGTAAGTAATCACTGGCAACACGCACTGGTTATACACTTTAGTTTCAGATATTGAGGTATACCTGACGAGAAGATGTGTCGTAATTTCCGGAACGCTGCCCAGCCGAGTTGAATCCGTCGATTGACCTCTCAGTCGAAGTTAGACTTACCTAGTCGGACTATTTGTCCCAGGTAAATGTACTCGTCAACAACTTCGAGCATAGTGCTCCCAACAACTACCGGTATAGGTGTGACATGGACATTAAACATGATCTTTGTTTTGTCCATGTTTATCTTAAGACCTATCCGTTGGGAGACAAAGTTGAGGTCATTGAGCATAGTGTTAAGGTCCTCCAGCGATTCTGCCATAAGGACTATATCGTCGGCAAATCGAAGGTGAGTGATGTACTCGCCATTGATGTTAATATCGTATCTTTTCCAGTCCAGTAGCTTGAAAACGTCTTCCAACGCAGAGGTGAAAAGTTTCGGGGATATAACATCACCCCGTCTTATACCTCTCTGCAGTTGGATAGGTTTCGAACTCTGGTTCTGTACTCGGATAGCCATCGTAGCCCTACTGTACAAACACTTCAGCACTTCGATATACCGACAGTCAACTTGGCACCGCTGAAGGGACTGTAGCACCGCCCAAATTCCGACGGAATCAAAGGCTTTCTCATAGTCCACATATGCCAGGCAAAGTGGCAGATTGTACTCTTTGGTCTTCTGTACAATCTGCCGCAGGGTATATATGTGGTCTATGGTACTGAAGCCTTTTCGGAAACCGGCTTGTTCGGGAGGCTAGAAGTCGTCGAGTCTGCATGCGAGACGATTCTTGGGCTTGACTTTGAAAGAATGCTGGTAAACATATCAACTTTTTTTTTACTGGACACGAAGCATTCCATCTTAGTCCTCACGGGTGACATCGCATCTGCATTTTGATTCGTAATCGAGGATAGATGTAGATGTCTATGGGCCGCAGCAACCACTTACCATCAGGTGGACTGTGTGCTCGTTTGTCACCCTATTCTATAAAAAAATATATCTGAAAATACGAGTATTATAAATATAGTAGTAACATTGACAGTTCTACTGACCAAGGGTAAAGATAAGTATAATCTTAATAAAAAATAATAGACTTTAAAATAAAGCATTTTGGCTCTAACGGCTTCCGGCGGCAGCATCCCATGCTACACTACAGGACTGTGCTCTATATAAAATCAATTGTCCGTCTGATTGTCAACGCTGCCATAAGAAACAGTGTCGTCATATTTTATAAGGTTTTGAGAAATATATAAAAGTATTGATTTCTTACACAGTATTTCTGCCGCGGTGCCGGGATCACTATATCTTTCTTTCTTGTTCACTTCATATCCGTAATCAAGAGAAGTTTTACCCACTTGAATCTGTAAAAAGAATGAAATTTTAATTTCATTGTCCTGACCATTTTTGGTAAGGCGGAAACTAGACGTCTGGGCAGGACAAAATTATACCCCACTAGTGCGTGCGCGAAAATCACAGGTGCATTCTCTATTCTTTTACTCTTATTGTACGATGGAATGACAATCTGACACGAGTGGAAAGAGAATAGGTGCAGGACCAACGGCTTTAAGTACTTTCCTAAAACTTTACGTAAGCCTTTACGCCTTACGTAAACCGGACTGCTACTGCAAATTGCTACATGACGGAATAACCCAATAACTGTTTCTAGCCCGATCGAAAATTCGTACCCAGGATCAGTAGTCACACCACAACCAGTATACCAACAGTTCAGTTAAATTTCATATGTGAATCATGAAACAAGTTTATGCTATGCACAACCACACTTTGTAAATTATTCCCGCCAGTGGTTTTTTACGGTTGACCGATATGACTAGGGATCTTCAAGAAAACATTTCCATTCATTCTTAAATGCATCTGTACGTCAGAATAGTAGCATGAAGTGGCTGTCTTTTGTATGCCAAGTGATAAGTATCGGGGACCCTTTTGGTAGCGAGGCATCAGGAGTGACATCGCATTTACGTTATGATTCTTAATTAAATTCACCAAAATGCGACCTATGACTCTGTATTAATTTAATATCGAAGTAAATTACGAATGAAAGCTTTCCTTCGAAATGTACAGTATTCGGGTTGTTACCCTTTTTTATAAAATTTTGTACGGTATGTGGCTACAGTAATCCATGTACACCTGCAGCAGACTTCAAACAACAGGTGCGTTATCATGTCTGAGGAGTAAGATGGAATGCGATGAAGTCTGTAATTGTACTGCTCTTTACATTAAAGTGTATTTAATTATGGAGTTTTATGGCATTGTCACGACGCTTTATCTCAACTTTGAACTTGTCTTTTTCACAAAGAAATTTCTTAATATTTTTTTTTGTAATGAAAGCATCGCACAGAATCTGAGACTTTAGACTATTTTATCTAGCCTTACAAGATTTTTTCTCATCGGATTTTATCTGTCCATACCCGCCTTTACGAAGATTTAATGAAAATAAAAGGGATAGATGTAATACAAAGGCGGCATAAGACGGAATTCCTTTTGAATAGCTGGACTTATTTAATTAAGGGGGATGTGATAGTATTTATATATATATCGCCAAATTTCAGTGCTTACACTGGTGTGCCTAAAAAGGTGTGAGAAAGCCAGTATAATTAAAGGATGTAAGGCATTTCCTCTTCGTCCTCAAATGTAACAACGTAGCTTTCTTGGATTAAAGTTGCACGTGTACATGGGCTTTAGAATCCACACAGCATCATGTGGACTATAAGTTTGGAATTGTGCTATTATCACTCCAGTTTTATATTATAAGTGGTAGAGCCATGCTGCAGTCATTGAAGCACGAATGGGCAGGTTCGACTGGGGAAGGACCAAGCTCTCACAGAATATCAGCTTGAAATAGTATCTTGATGCTGTTGTGTTTCTTATGGTGAGTGTAGAGAACCGGAGACCCTTTCTACCGAAAACGAGGCATTCCATTTTAGACCTCACTGGTGACAACGGATCTGTATTTTGATTCGTAGTCAAGGATGGATGTAGATGTCTATGGGGCACAGCTACCAGTTCCCATCGGTTGGGCTGTGTGCTCATTTGTCACCCCATCCTATAAAAAATACACCGAAGGGGGAAAATTGTGATAGTGAAGGCAGACATTTTTATCTAATGAAAGCCATGACATCTTATGATATTTTCTATGATCGTCTCTTACAACATAGTGACTATGTGCTTGTAGATGATTTATCCTCTCGCTACAACATATCAGTATTTTAATTTCGATTATTACAGACCCTCAGAAGTCCACTGCAGAACATAGGCGTTCCCTAGAAGGAACAAACTTACGTACATGCTTTTTATAATTTCGCCATCTACTATATTAATTACAGGAAATTGCCTCTAAAATACTACATTTTACCGGTTAGCAGAGTACCTATAAAGGGTGACCCACACTCTATACTAGTTTATCCTTCGGAAAACCTTTCTTTCCCATCAGTTGTTGGTTCGTCGAGCTTTATAGTCAGGACATAGGTACTTCTTTATAGTCTAAACGAAATTTTATTTATGTTAAATAAATCACTTTTAAAACTAAAAAGAATCTAAATACATACCATATTATGTTAAAATTAAGTGGTTAAGGCTGCAAAGCACGCCAAAGAAACACAAATACACTCGAAAAGTATTATCTTCCTACTGAAGTGAATTGAGTAAAAAGAAACAAGGCTGACCAAATCGTCGTAATTATCAATATGTTCAGTGGAGTCTGAATAGGGGACTAATAACATCGCTGCGTTAGAATGGAAACTGATATAGGCCAGTAAGTTGTTTATACTCTCAATGTATGACGATAAAGTACGGGTCTCTATTTCAGAAAATTGTTGTGATCCGGCGTATGTTTGGTAGTCACAAGGATTATGCGATGACGAATGTTCTGAAAAAAATAATATTTTAGACAATAAACAGGTTTGATAAAACTTTTAACGTTGTTTTTTCTACTATGATAACGGTGTGACATGTTATTTTCCTTTAGCTAAAAGTTTGACAATGTATTGAATAAAACATATTATATTATATTCATGTCTTAACATTATAAAGATTAAAATTCATGCTTATTTATTCATATATGATTTTTGCACTATTGACGCTACATCTGACTCTCGTCTAGCGGAATCGAGATTGTAATATCGCCGTGTATCGGAAGCCACAGCTTGGCTTAAATTACCGGAACGCTCAATTACGGAATCCGATTTCGTTTCTTTACCAAAACCACATTAAGGCAGCATAATAATTATTGGTTTTCAGGTCTAACTTGCATTTTGTAGGCATTACCTTCAACAATTAGTTACTGCGTTTGAACCTACCTTCGATAATTTTGAAATTTTAAATCAATAAAACAACAGTACGTTCAGGAATGTTAAGGTCTACATACTTAATAAACACAAGCTCGAACCCACATCCTCCTAGTAATTCACTACATCATTTCTCGGACCCTAAGATACAAGATTATTAGCTTAAGGTCCAATGGAAAAATATGTGTATCTATATATTTTCTATTGTTGGATGCTCTTGTTAAATCTATGTGTCAATTAATTTATTAATTTATTTATGATTCTTTCATTCGTTACAGCTTGTCGAAAGAAAACTGTTCAATACAAATCTTTCCCATAGATTGTCTATAGAGGCCTAATTCGCCTTAGATGTCACGCTTGGCAGGCGGGTTTACTCACGCAGTTTTTAAGCTATTGCATAGCTTCTATCGCGGGCCTTGAGCGCGGGGACCGAATCCAGAAATTCCGTAACGAAAAAAAACCTCACGCTCGCCACTCCGACGGGCACGGAAGTCTGGCCTTGAAAGCCGTGCATCGTCTAACGTCGTTTTAGTCCGGCAGACTTCGGCACTCGGCAGAGTTCGGCACGGTGTTTGTGTGCGTGCGACTAGACGTATGCGTGTACACTAGCTGCTAACTGAATGATAAAAATTCCTGAATAACCTACATGTATTGTAAGATATTAAAAATATTTTAAACAATATTAACTTCTGATTTATTCAATAAGAGAAAAAAAATTGTTTTCTTATCGGTCACCACTCTCAAAAAGTGTAACTTGATTTAATATCAAAGACTTAACTGCATAAATAAAATAAATAAATAATTATAATTGCATAAGTTGATAAAAAATGCTATGCAATAGCTTTACCGCGGCAGTCACCGAGTGCCACACGTATTTTTTTTAATTATTTTGAATTGCTATCAGCAAAATGCTGCAGCCCATCTCCTGCTCCCTTAGAACCCACTGACTGGAGAATGTAAGAGAACTCACTCTTACACATCATCCCCTAACAAATCTTTTGCTGAAGTTTGCTGCTAGATTGCTTGTCATAATTGCTATGCTTGCCAGGCGGATTTTTGTCTACAGTTTCTGATGTTTCCTACTATTGACACTGCTTCCCGTGTTGGTATTTTCCACTATTTATAAATACAAGAGAAGAACTTATACCGGTATTTATTGGAGATCATGAACTCTTTCTGGGAATTCCCTAAGTTGCCTCTTACTGTTTGAAATGATGGAGGCATGGATTCTTATATGCCGCCATCTCAACTTTGTAAGGAAAATGAACATGTATACCAAATAATAGTATATACATTTCTAATAGACTTACGTCCCCAATTATATTTCCAGTTTCTATTCGGGTCTGCACCGAAACATCTGCTGCCGAAACCCGACACAGTTTTCCTCCAAAAACGATCCTAAAAATAAGGTAAGTGTTTTGTAAATTATAAAATTATTATGATAGTTCCCGAATATTAATAAGTTGTAATATGGTTACAATAAACACGCCGAACGCATAAACTGTATTTGCCATGAGTGATCGTGTCCGGAAGCAGTTTATGATCTGAGTGAAGTATAATTTAAATTATATTTAAACTCGCGTAAAAAATTAGCATTAGAACTTAGTAGTCTTAGTGCACAATTTATAGCTAAACCACACGATACGTTGGCGGTGTGTAACGACCACAGATGTGGGAATCAGAGAGACGAAGCGGGGAGGGGAGATGCAGTGTGAGGTCGGAGCGGCAACAACTCTCCGCGTTGCGACGTCGTAGTTGGCTGCGTTGCTTTATGACACCTATGTGGCTGTGTGACACTCATTGCGTCAAAATTATAGCGCTCCGATAATGCAGTGCACCGCCAACCTTGTGTGGCTTTACTCTGGTTTGTTTCCAAATGTGATGACATAAAATATATGAGTATATTAAAATACAAGGATGATGTGGCCCATAAACACATACATTTTTATTCAAATGCAGATGCGTTGTCATACCACATTACTAGTAAAATGATTTTTCGATACTGTTCCCGAACTACAGAAAACACAGCATTTTTATCATCACCATCATTAAAATGACAAGTCCATTATTGAATATAGACTCTGCCAAGGAATGTAACAAAGCGTGGTCCTGAGCCACGTGCTTCAATCCACTCCTTAAGTGTCTTACCAGACATGTATTCCATTTCGTAGATGGACGTCCTACACTCACCCTCACCGGTACCATGCTGTCATTCTAGAATATTTCTTCCCCATCACTTGTCAGTTCTTCGAGCTATATGCCCGACCCATCGCCGTTACTATGGTTCTACTGCGGATATCTTCGCCACGAATATGAGGCAAAGTAACTCCAAATTATCGCTCACCAGCACTCCTCTGCTAAATGACTACCTGCATAATCGCGTATACTACAAACTGAACAAAACTAATTTTAAAAAAATATATCGCATATTGACTAAAATGTTTAATTAAGTAAGAAACTATTTTGTCCATACTATATTAAACTTAATGACAAATATAACAAGAATTTTCGAACATAATTTACCACGGTATAACTGTAGTGGTAGCCATCAGGATTTACGGATGGAAAGATGCGCCAGTCAAATTGATCCCTCAATGCCGTTATGTTTGGGTCATTGCTCGTTAGAAGTTCGTTTATAAAGTACGTTGTTGTAGCTGGAGCAATCCATTCCCTGGCATGAATTCCTGACAAAAGAAAATAAATAAGTTAACTTTTATTAAAACATGCAGTGATGTAACTAATCTTTAAATAGGTATAAATGTTGATCGGCTATTTGTGATTATGTATCTTCTGACTGCCTTGTTGGTCTAGTGGTCGTAGACTCGACTGCTGATCTTGAGGTTCTGGGTTCGAATCCCGGGTCGGGCCAAAAAACATTAGTAATTGAGTTTTTCTATCAAGAAATTCTCAGTACTAGCAGCAGCAGAAAGTTGGTGGTGTTTCACCCCCGTGCCTCAGATATCACGTAAAGCCATTGGTCCTGCGCCTGATCTCATTCTTGTCGGGTTGGTTTGCTGTTCCGACTGACTTCTGAAGCGAGGGAATAGAGAGTGTACCAGGGCTTGCGCATACACTCTGGCACTAAAATCTTGTTCTGCGCAGATGGGTAGTCTTCGTTAAGACTAGTCACGTTGACCGAAATTCGGTCTGAAGGACATTATTACCCTTAACGTCTAACGACTTGACATATTCACGCAGTACTTTTGGCGAGACGATGGCTTATATCTCTGCGAATCCGTTAAAGTAATAGTGATCTTTGGTTAATTGTTAATATTGCAGCCGAAAAGTAATTAAGCGATAAGGTGCAATAAAGTTTCTCATTTTTCACCTTGTAATTGACTGACAAATTCTGCCGACTTTCAAATGGTCACAGGGTCTGTGTTTAATCTACTACTTTACTTGCTACCTTAAATAAAGACATTCATCATTTTTACTGGCTGTTCCGTGTTACTAAAAATTATTTCTTTCTTCTGATATTTTATAAAGATCTATGTGTATCTTTTTAAAAATGCATGTTCTAATTATGATAAAGTTCAGTGACAATGTAACAAAAGATAAAATGATTCTTCTTTTCTTTAGAAGAGCTAAAAATAAAGTTGCTACAACATTAATATACACAATCAATTACTGAAGAGTGGTGTTTTTAATAGAGACAAATGCAGATGCGCTATCATCTCTGAGGACCGAGATGAAATAATATTATAGCTGCATCGTGCCTACACCACTTACAAAGAACAAATTAACTTTACTACTCTTCCATCTGGTGATAGCAGGTGACGCATCCAAACATAATAAGGCGCACTAATTTAGGTTTGCAAAAGCCGATTGTAATCGAATTGAAAGACAGATGTCGACAAATTATTCAACTCCATTGCTGCACGCAAATCCATATAATACAAAAAATATTATGAATAAATACCAGATTCAATAAAGACGACCGGCTTAGGTGAATCTTTTAGCCCGGGCGTATTGATCCGCAGTCCTAGTATTGAGCGGCCTTGATAGCTCTGGCCGCCCACAATAAGCTCTGACCATTTCGAATACATTTCACTCATGTTCTTTAAGAATCCATTAATCTAAAAAAATATCAATTAAATACACATTATTAAAGATAACTCAAAAACTACTGGTTAGATCTTGATCAAATTTATTCGGGACCTCATAAAAAGCCAGCTGTCAAATTAAAAAATCATCAAAGCTAAAAAAAGTTGTGAGATAATTAGACGTAAAAAATACAGTCGAATTGAGAACTTCCTCATTTTTTGAATTCGGTTGAACAAATAAATTAACACCTCCCGCAAATGACGAGCATTCGGCTCATAAACTGACGTTTTTAATCGGTTATAAACATTTGATATAAACACAAATCAACTACTGGTGCTATCAAGTTATGTTCACAAGATATTAAAGAGTATTGCAAGCCATCTATATATTCGACATCTACTTGTCGCTAACACCATCTATAAAAAAAAGTGTATACCTTAATATTACACATGTTGCAACATTTTTTTCCTCAGATAAATTTAAAAGGATATAACCTGTTCGTGTTTTGTATGTAAATTTTTTAAGCTGTTTTTTGGTTAGCAATAAAATGTCAATTTCATTACTTATACTTATCCATCTGCCAATCATGATTACATAAGTTATGTACTCATGATTTGTAGACGGATACGAGTAATTTTAGTTATATAAATTGATGTATAACAACTGATGGAATATGTACTAGTGATATAAAATTGATATATCACCTAATAAGGGTGTAAAAGATACCATGCACACTATATTATCAAAATACTAACCTCACATGTCTGTGAGGCTTAGGTTCGTAACCTAAACCTCACAGACAGTTGATTGAAAGCGGAATAATCATGATTAGAGTATCGTCCCTGTGCTAATCAAAGGATCGAGGTCGCGAGGAAATGAGGTCAAATAAGGTGCAATAATATTGAAGACGAACACACACACACACACACACACACACACACACACAACACACACACAATCCTACCACATAGTATCTATCTTAAAGAAATCATTTGGTATATTTTTGAAAATACCTATATTCGAACAGCGGATTCAAGAGACTCATTAAGGGCCCAGTCTTGTAAAAATTAGTGTTCTCGCAAAATTTAGAGCAAAACGAATATGTTTTTATAGTATTTAAAAAAGAAAAAGTGAAACAAATTTTACATTCATATAAAGTCTAGGGTTTGAAATTTTCGAAACTGTTTAATAATTTTATTTTGGTGTTTAAATTAATAGCTCTATTAGGCGTTAAACATGCATATGTTTAGGTTACATGCGTAAAAGGTCTTATTAAAGCCTCTGCTATGTACAAACTATAACAATATTAAGAAAAGTATTCAGATCACATTTATTTACATATTGTCTACAATAATCTGATCTGGTCACTTTTTTAGGAATGCTTTAATTTTCTTATTTGGAGACCTTGAAAAATTGTAATTTCATTATTTTTTTTTACTGCAAATATCTATTTTTTTTTCTATTAGAAGTATAAATGTAACAAATTCGTACTTAAAACCACATACAATAGAACTATTGTCAAGTGAATTAGAAATATATAAAATTAAAAAAATATATTTTTTCGTACTTTTTACCTATATGCTATTTATAAACCAGAAACGCCTGAAAATTCTCTCAGTTCCGCTAGGATTTCTCGGCATTCAGACGTGTGTAGTGTTGCTCAACGTTACTTTACCTCTCGCTCGCACGGTTGATCTCTTTCCCTCGCGCAACTCTTATGGACTGAGCGGAGCATATCGTGAAAGTTGCTCTACTTAAATATATATTTTTTTCATTTAATTGTCATATTAGTTCTAGTTTTTAGTGTATTAGTATTAGTGTATTAGATTAATTGACTAGAAATTTTATATTTGATGAATGTCAATTTATTACCAAAAAAAAAAGGAAAAAGATGGATAGAAAAAAGAAGAAATATCCTTGTGTCAGTAAAAAGAAATGTAACGCAAGAGTTGAAGTGATGAGTGAAGAGTTTTGGGAAACAACAATGCTGCCCCGTTTGTCAAAGTTTTATCACAATTAATTTATTGGCACCTTGAATGTTCTATGCCGATAAAAGACCCACCGTATATAATAGAAGCAATAGAATGCAAAAAACAAAAAATCCCAAAAAAAGTTAACCCCTACACAATATTACACCGCTCGAAATTTTTTTTTTTACTTTTAATGATGTAACAAACTAAATAAATAAGTATATGTGTATTCAGTTATTTTTTTGTTTCATTTTTTATCAACTACCTTCTAAATTACTTTCCTATAAGATTTCTCTCTAAAAAATACAGGTACAAGCGTTATTTGTATGTACAGATTGTATAAAAATAATCATATACATCCGATATAAAGGGAGTAGCTCGAATCATAGAGCTGAACCACATTTAATACAAAAAAAATCTTAGAAGAAATTATGAAATATTAAATAATAATATTAATATAAAAAATTATACTACCACGACAAAAGTAAAAGGAATTTTTATGGAAAAAATTACTAAGTTATATATTTAATGAAGTAAAGCAACCTTCACCTGTGATCTCGGATGTATTTGTGCAAAAGGGAGAGCACCCCCTCTAATAGCTGGGAAAGTAAAAAAGTAAAGCTAGAAGGAAGCCTTAAGAAGATGAAAATTGTAATAACTACTATTAGAAAGTAAGTCCAACTTAGATAAGACTTCTATATTCGTCTTAGCATATTTGTTTAACGTATGTGCTCGCAACTAAGTTAAACTATATTTAAAGTTTTCGACTGTTCAGTTTATACAGAATTAGCCTGACTTTGATAAATTATTTAAATTAAACCTAAGAAACTTAATACATTCATGAACCAGGACTTCTTAGATTCAGATTTGCTTAACCGTTTCTATTCATTAATAATAATTAAAATGTAAAAGAATCTAGTTGCTGTAAGTAAAAAACACTAAATATATTTTCACTTGAATAAAACGGTTATTAAAAATAAACACATAAATCTTCTTTGTCAGCAATATAACAGAATTTGATTAATGTTTCTAATAAATTCGTTATTCATATTGTAGAACAGCTGTCTCATTTTCTTTTACGCTCACTGTTAAAAATAGCTAATTTTGGGAGAAATATATTTTTCCACCAATTATTTGTTCTTTTTCTATATGAATGGGGGCAAACGAGCGTACGGCTCACCTGATGGTAAGTGACTACCACCGCCCATAAACAGCTGCAACCCCAGGGAATCGCAGGTGCGCTGCCGGAATTTTAGAAAGGAGTAAGCTCTTTTCTTGAAGATTCCTAAGTCACATCGGTCCAGAAAAATCGCCTGTAGTAAACTATTCCACATAGGTTGTACGCAGAAAAAAAAACTTCCAATGAAAGACTGTTGGGACCAAACATCCAGATGGTGCGAATGGTATCGAGGGTTTTACCGCGATGAGCGTTCGTAAAATTGGGCGGCTGGAATTAATCCGGAAAATTCGTCAGAGCACTTCCCGTGGTAGATATTAAAGAAAATGTAAATATTTTACGAGAATGTGGTTGTTCCCCGCTCGAGCCGACCAATTTGTAGGATAACCTAGCTCTAATCTAGGTTTTAAATGAAAATTGAACACAAAAATCATTACTCTGAATTTATGTATGTTATAGTCGAGCGATTATATCTTTGAATGTATTTTTTATAGGATAGGTTGATTAACGAGCACACAATCCACCTGATGGTAAGTGGTTGCTGTGATCCATAGACATCTACACCTATCCTCGATTACGAATCAAAATGCAGATGCGTTTTCACCCGTGGGGACTAATATGCAATGCCTCGTTTCCAGTAAAAACGGTCTCCGGTCTATTCAATAATACCCAGACTAATGTCAGTAGCAGCGTCACACGTACAAGTCTGATGCTCAGGCGCCAATCTACCTGACAAACGAGGGGATTATAGCAAAATCCTTTCTTTAACGGAAGGAGCCCACGCCAAGCTGCGGATATTAATGGACTCATGAATAAATAGAACCTTAAACATAAATTTACTTACATCATCAATGTCGTAATAAGCAGTCCATGAGAAATCGCGTTTACTTCGGCGCACCGACTTTTCCATAAGAATTATCCTACGAAGTTAAATTTTTAATAAAATTATTTATGATAATTGATAGAATCAGGCGTTACTTTGCGGAAATTCATTATAGTAGTATATAAGTTTATTATTTTTTTTGTTTGAAATTTACAAAGCAGCGTATAAAATAGTATACTTTAAATTCTTACCACCCACGTACAATATTTGTTATTCAAATTAGAAACGTAGTGAAATCTGAATGATTTCTTAAATTTACGCAAACATTACACATTGAATAAAACTATAATTTACGGATTTTATCGCGTTTAATTACTTTAATTTATTTTTTATTATCCCGACGTTTCGGGTGCTTTACAGCGCCCATGGTCACGGGAGGGACAGAGATGTTTGATGTCCCAATGTCATAGTTAGTCCGACTACCTTCAGTTTTTGAATATTAATTTTTAGTCCGATTTACGCAAAATGAGCTTATAGTATCATGAAGTCTTGCAGTGGTATGCTTCGGTTTAGGTTTAATTTTGTTAATTATAGGATCCCAAGCAGATGGCAGCTCCCATCCATCTTCTCTATTGAAATTTGGATGTTTTTTAATTTCAATAGCCTCGCGTATCATTCTTGGTAGGAATCGGAGTTCTTTTGCGAGGATTTGTGGTTTATCAAATCCAAAAATAATTTGAAATCTGACCAAATAATTCTTAGTAATTCCTTAAAATTCGAATTAAAAACTTACTCTGAAATATCGTTGTGTAAGACTGAAGCATTCAAATTCTCTGTAGCAATTATTTTATTAAAAAGCATTTCCGAATCGGGTGCCACAACAATTTCGGCTCCATCTCGAGTGTCACTATAAGCCAATGAGTCCTAAAAATATAATCAAATTATAAGTTTTGAATTCTATATTGCACATTGTATAAAAATGAAAATATGTGTGAATGAAAAACCTACATCTTTGTCTTGTAGTGCTAATTTTAATTTTTCTATTCCCGTCCTATGTCCTTGAACTTCAATGTATTTATAATTCTCGTAAGTTCTGTACCCACTTTCTACTCCACTAACAAATCCAAAATACACAACCATATTAAAGGAAAATAAAAACAAAAACTTCATATTTAGAGCCAATAGTATTACAGTGTGTTTGATTTCGACTTATGAGGGCTCTTTTAAAGTGATCGTGTATGTACATGACTGCACTGATAACAGCATTCTTAACATTTCAAGCGTTTAACAAGGGTCTTTTATCTTTTAACAATAAAAATAAATCCTTTAAAAATGTAGGCAAACATACGTTTTATAGCCTTATTTTTTGTTATTATTTATCCAAAAAAATTTAGGAATAAAAATTTTTTTCGTAGTGTATTCCACTGCTGGAAATGATAGTATTTTACTAGTGTTAATTTAAATATCCTAAGATGAAAAATGGTCTGAGCCTCAGTGAGCTTATTATAGACAATTAGAGAAATATAGACTCAATTTACTTTTAATTTACTGTTTCAATCGGTAATTCCAATATATAATGATACATAACATATTTATAAAGCCTATAATAATAAAGGAGAATGTGTGATTAGTTTCTTCAATCTTCGAAAATGTGTGTTGTTAATAAGAATAATTCAATTCATTACACATCACAAATCATTCAGCTTATTGTGGTTGTACCACAAATGAGTTGGCTCGACCAAGGGAAAACCACGCTCTCACAAAATACCAGTGTAAAATAGCATCTTTATTGTAATGTGTTCGTGTGGTGAGTGTAGAAATCTGGAGATCATGTTTACTGGAAATAAGGCATTATGTGTTAGTCAGTAGTAGTAGTAGCTGCATTTTGATTGTTAGCGGCGAAGCGGCGGTTTTTTTCAATATCTATCAGCTATCCTATCATATCCCGCCGTAGAAACTATAAACGATTTCATATATGATCATTTCATAGGTTTTGCTCTCAATAACAATTATATATGGTCGAAGTCATTTCACAAGGTTTGCTCTCAATAACAATTATTTCACAAACTCAAATTTATCAATATTTTTTACAACAACAATTTAATCTGATATTGATAACAATAAACTGTTAAGTGCCCGCATCATAAAATCAATAGAGGTGCACTTTAATTCATAAATAATTCTATAGCCTTGACATGCAATTGCGGGTATTGAATAAATGTAAAAACATTGTGTGTTTACAGGTTTAACATATTATTTTTGTTACTTTATTCTATTTCTATTTCTTTATAGAACCGTAAAAATCCATTAACGTAGACCCGTAAAGTTAAATAACTGGGTCCTCGTCTATCCTGTTCTCAACCATTCTCTCCCTTTCTCTGTCTATCTCTCTTCGAAATTTTAAGCCTGATGTAAACGAAATGGTTATAACAACATCTATAGAAAGTCATAAGATTTTTCTTCCCGAAAACTCGCCTCAAACGTCACCCACGTGACGCAATGGGGCGATGAATTAACTTACTCCGCCACTACATGAAAACCAATCAATTTAAAAAATAATGTAAATATAAAAGTATGAAAAACATTACGTAAGCGCTCTAACTCAAAATTATTTCCACAGAAATTACTGCCTTATATTAAAATAGTGATGGTGATGGATTCTTTTACGCCATCACTGCACGATGAAATAACAAGGAGGAGAGGATACTCATATTCATATATTAACAAACGTGGAGATAACCGACCTTATGGTGGGTTCACAACTTTGGTCCCATGTGAGTCTGAAATTTTAAGGTCCCATGTTATTGTATGTTTAAATTTTTTCTTTACGAAATAAAACGAAAACGATATTTGGTCTTTATTTTTATTTTATTTACAGCTTATAATATAATAAACTAATTAAAAGCATAAAATTTACAAGTATCATACAATGTATTTACACAACACATATTTTCAAACTTAGGTACAAACTACTATCCCTCTGTGAGTCATAAAAATGGGTCTCATATTTCAGAGCTCTATTGTGCTATGCTTTATAATAACAAAATTATTGCTAGCCCATTTACTCCTTAGCATTTTGGTATATGAAAAAAGGAGAGAAAAATATTTTAACGATTAAAAATAGCGCGAAATGTGTCTTACTAGTCTGCGCTGGTTTCCTGGCGGGTCAACAGTATCGGCCGTCTTGACATCCGTCGGGATACCAGCGTTCAACAGAAGAGCGGATAATAAAAAAGAACGTGCTAATTAGAGTTACTAGCCTAGTATAACGTAACATGTGACTAATAGTATATTTGGTTTGTGTTGTCGCTAATCGAGCAATGAAGAAGGCTATGCTTGGAGTTTCTCTGCGTGTTAAATTTAAGAATGAGGATATCCGCAGTAGAATCATAGTAACCGACATAGCCCAACGGATTAGTAAAATGAAGTGGCAATGGGCCGGCACTATAGCTCGTAGAAGTGATACCCGATGGGATAAAAAGTTCTTGAGTAGCAGCCTCGTACCGGCAGACGAAGTGTAGGGCGTCCCCCCACTAGATGAAGTGTCATCTTGGTAAAACATGCTGGAAGTCGATGGATGCAGGTGGTTCAGGACCGTGCTATGTTGCATTCCGTGCGGGAAGTCTATGTTCAGCAGTGGACTTGTGAAGGCTCTAATGGTGATAATGATGAAATGCCTTCCCCAAGGAATGCTAAAAAAGCACGGACCTAAACTATCTAGGTCGTAACTACTTCTAGTGGCAGGCTATCCTACACTTAGATTATTGATAAGCGATTCCGCGCTCTCTGGTGAAAGAGAATCCGTACCCACGTTTCGTATAAATAAATAGACACGATTTTTTTATATCTTTTCATTTATATTTCAGCAAAATAATCAGGAATCTAATAAATGAACAAGAAATGAAACTAATAGATGATTAAAAAAAGATTTTTTTTAATTTATACTTCATTAAGTACTAAAAACAGGCGCCGAGTAATGACTACAGCTGCCTATCCATCATTAACGAATTGACGTTTCAATAGAATCGATGAGGTAATAAAATATTATGGCAGCAGCAATCTATTCAATGAAGGTGTAGAAATGAGTTCATTTAAATAAATAATTGGTTCTGTTAAACCATCCCCTGAAGATGTAAGAAGTCAAGGATCTAAATTATAGAAATCAAAAAATAAATCCCGCTATTTACCACATAATTGGATACGAGCAAACTAACATCTAACCTTGTAGTGCGGTGTTAACCGTATAGTGGCGAAGTAAGAAGACCCTCTGCCCCATATCGTTCCGTGGGTGTCGTAAGAAGCGACAGGGGAAACTACCCAGGAGATGGGCAGCAAACGTCTTCTTAATAGCAGCAGCTGTTTTCTAATTAAAAAAAAAACTATGGACGCCAACCCGCCCGCCTAGCGTAACAACAATAATTTATGGTTAATGGAACTTAACTTAAGTGAACTTCAACCAAAATTATACCAGTTTTTTAACAGTAAGTTATAGAACTTAGCGAAACAAAGAGAAGAGTCGGACCAGCCAGCTGTACGCTTTATGACATCTATGGAGACACCGGCGCGCTTCGCTGCCGACGTCGACGCATGTCGCGTACTGTGTGACGAATAAGTGGTAACATCAATGCCGCTATCCTTAAGGATTTGTTTGATCCAGCGACATAAAGATTGAGCCCTGGCATTTTTGGGTAGGTTTTTTTAATAGTTAAAATTGACTTATCTGAACCCGATTCCTCTCGTAGATCTCTCGTTCTATTCATACTCTTATAATCAGAAAGGGCTTTCACTGGGCAAATTTCTGGTTGTTCCTTGTAACATGGAATTATTAATTCCAGATTCATCCCATAAGGCGTTGACGTTTTAATAAGTTTGTCTTTAACAATGTGAACCCTATTTTCATTGAATGATATATTATTAATTTCGATTAGTGTCAACGTCTGAACATGTTGTCCAGTCAACAACGCGACCAGAGTTACGAGTTTTTTAGTAATTATCTCTAGAGATAGTGACTCGTCAGGGCTTTTCTTAGAAAGGTAGGATAAAATTAAATTTGGATCCTATGAATTTTGATATTTGGGTAAATTATATCTTGTTCTGAAAGCACCTTTTAAACATTCCTGGCAATATCATTCACGCAAGTTTTTGTGCCTAATATAAATGACAAAACTGATCGAAAAAAATTTAATGTGTTATATTTAGCACCACTTTTAAAATGTTTTGTAAGAAATCTTATAAATATATGTACTGAAATGTTGAAAAAACCTAAGTTATTGTGTTTACAAAAAGAAAACCATAATTTGTACACCGTATTATATTGCCGCATTGTGTTAATGGATTACGACTGAATTATTATGTCAATAGTATCGTTATCTAAAGACTGTCTAGCAAACGCTTTCCGGATAATGTTGCACACACCAAGATAAGACTGGCCACAAAGGACGAACATTACTGGAAGGAGAAAGTAAGATGTTTTTATCAGGGCCAAAATATACTAGCTTAGAAATGGTCAAAGACATATATAGCGGGAACCAAGGTTGCCTCGGCCAATAAGGTGGTATTAATATGCCGGTCGACATATCATTAATTATTTTTCTAATGCTCTTCAGTATCATTGAAAATGGGGCAAAGGCGTAGAAAAAATAATTATCCCATTTTAAGGTAAATGCGTCAATGTTAAAAAAATCTGGATCTCGTTTCCACGATACGAATTTTAACCACTTTTTATTAATTCGAAAGGCAAATAGATCTATTTCTGGCTGACCAAGCTCAATGACTATTTTTCGGAACTAAGAATTCCGCAATTCCCACTCCGTATCAATATTCGAATATCTTGAGGCTTTATCAGCTTTAATATTTTCCCTAGATTTTATATACGACGCAAATATGAAAAGCTTTCTTCGTTCGCACCATTGCCATTGTGAGTATCACTCGAGATATCATTAATTTAAGTGTGGAAACTGTATTCCACCCATCCTGTTAATGGCATATATGTACAATATGGCAGTGGTGTTATTAATTCTTAACAAAACATCAGATTTGGTAATGTTGTTAAAAATGCACTTTAGTCCCATAAAGGCTGCTACAAGTTCTAAATAGTAATATGTTTTCCCTTTTCTGTCTAAACCAATATCCGTTTACTGTTTCTCTAATATTCCCCACCCTGTAAGTGAGGCATCGGAGAAAATTTCTAATTGAAAATGACTTGTTTTAATAGAATTGTTTGCATATTTTTTTGTTTCCCACCATAAAAAAATCATTTTTTCTTCTTTTAACAAAGGGTTGACTTTCGTGTTTGCATAATAATCTTTGTCTATTAAGAGAGCAAGATGTTTTCCCTCTCAAAGCGCTTGGTGTATTACCAGCTATAAGCTACGGCTAGATATGCAGCTGTTAGGGTACCTAAAAATTGAGCAAAATCTCTTATCTTCACTTCTGATTTATTAGACATATTCTTAATTATTTTATAAATTTTACAACATTTTGCTGATGGTAATTCTAAGGTCATATGTTGTGAATTCAATAAAAATCCAAGAAATTTACGTATCTTACTAGGTATAAGAACACATTCATCATAATTTATTACAGTACCTAATAACTCTAGAAAACGAATGACTTCTGTTATTGAATTTAAACACGAGTTATAGTCGTCTGACGTGATCCAGAGGTCATCTAAATACGCTATTAATTTATAGCCTTTACGACGTAAAACTGTCAAAACTGGCTTCATCAATTTCGTAAAAATGAATGGAGCTGTAAACAAGTCGAATAGGAGACAAGTAAATTCATACAATTTATTATTGAAACGAAATCGTAGGTACTTTCTAAAGGATTTATTGACGGGAACCAAAAAATTCTTTGAGATCAATTGTTGCCATAAATGATAATAATTTAGAAGATTTGCGAATGTCTTCCATTTTAAAATGATTTTGCAGTATGAATTTATTAAGTGACTTCAAATTAGGAATAAATTTATATGAGCCGTTACTTTTAGGAATATGAAATATCGGAGACAATATAAATTGACTATGACAATCATTACACGGTACAATTGATCCTAAGCGTTTAAGTTGCTTGATAGCACAGTTGCCCTTAGTTGCAAGTCAATCTAATTTTTTGTCGAACCATCGGGGCTCGAAATGGACCTCACTTTCTGTGGGGCCACTTCTGGAAGAAAGAGTCCCTCTTTCTCCATAAAGTCGAACAGCTCCTGGCCCCTTGGTTTCCATTGCCATATCCCAAATTTCCCTACCTTCAGCTCACCGTTCTTTCTTGTGCCTAGTTTTGGGTTGAAGCCTTTCTCCAAAACTCACTTTTGGAGGAATGTGTGGCTCTAGAAATATCCTCATACATTTTCCCTCTTCCACCTCCTCGTCGGCATGTTCCGACGTAGGTGCGTAAACCTGTATGATCTTCAGTGAATACCGTTTTGTCATTCTAAGTATCGCGTACGCAACCCTAGTCGACACACTCGCAATCTTTACAACGTTGTTAACGAGAGACTTGTGGACGATAAATCAAACACCTCCTTGGGACTTGGGATGGTCGCCCTCCCGGTGATAGAACAAGTTGCCGGATTCGAGAATCATCGTGTCTTCCCCCTCCCTTCGGACCTCGGATAATCGTATAATATTCCAGCACAACTTGTCTATCTCTTCTTCCAGCTCCAGGATCTTCTTGTCAGTCCTCATGGCTCGTGCGTTATATGTTGCCGGGTCGAGTCGTCGTAAGTGTCAACCGAATCTCTACCGAAGATTCTTAGCGCCCTCTGCCCCGCCGTTACCATAGTCGCCACCGTAGCCAGGAATAGCGGCGTTTGCCATAGTTGCCACGCTTGGCGAGCGGGTTGGCAACCACAGTTTTTGTTTTTTTTTTATTTTATACGGCTGCTGCTATCAGGAAGATGCTGCTGCCCATCTCCTGTTTGTTTCCCTCTGTCGCCTTTTACGATACCCACGGGAAGATATAGGGTAGTGGATAATCTTAACCGCCACTACACAGCTGATCCATTGTTACGTTTAACCAATTATGTAAAAACTATTGAATACGACCAGCGTGAGGTACCTTTAGCGGCAGCTGCGACAGTTCTGCAGCTGGTTGGTCGGTGGGAGGCGCCGTGCCGCTGGTGGTTGCCTGCGGGCGGCGGGATGCGGACGTGGCTGCACGCGCCGCTCCCTGTCCGCTCGGTTGACGGGGGAGGGGGCGCTCCTGAAGTTCCCTGTGCACCTGTGACCCCATGGTTGTCTAGGAGCAGACAATTGTGATTTTTTGATCTGCAGGCTAGATTTTTCTATTGACTTGGTAGTTTTGTTATTTTCTTACGATTTTCTCGTTTAATGCTTGGTGATTAACTTCATAACTCTGACGTTGAATGTACTAAGCGTCTACGATTCATGGTTTCTTCGTGGTGAAGATCTAGTAGAATAAAAATTTTCGGGGATCAGTGTTTTAGTAAGCATGTTCTTCTTCTGTTCCTTCGTCAACCCTTCTGTTAGGATTTTACCCCAACGTTCAGAGACTTCCATAGGGATCTTCTGCCCAAAAATTTCTTCGGATGTTTCTGCGGATGAAATTTCTTGTGATGGCTTCCCTAAGAGCTGGAGGGAGCATACTTTCCTTATCTTGTGACGATGAATGAACACGGACTCCTTATAAAGTCTTCTCACGAATAAGAGTTTCAGCTTCAAGCGAGAGGGGTGCCGGCGTGGGCATTTCAATGACGGACTTTGGCCTGCGACGCTCTTCTTCACTGACATTACAACTGCTACTGCCGTAATCGTACGCGTCTGACTCCATTTCTTCATACTCGTCGCAAGAGTTATATTCGGGATCTAATAGAACAAGGTTGAATCAGACTTATATTTACTTTATGGATCGTGGATAACATCACGTGTCACCACATTAAGAAAGTAAGTTTTATATTTCCGGATGACATCACGTGCCATCACTGATGAAATAATAGTATAAATACTTCAAAAATAAAATAAACATAATATTGTATATTTTGGCTCCACCACCGAGGAAATAAAATAAATTTAAATTAAAAAAATCACTTCTTGCGGGGCACACGCGGATAATGCAACATACGGAAAACGAATGATCGAAACCCCTGGCCGGGCCGATAGGCTGACAGTGGCTTACAAAATCAATTGATGATCTTTTCATTATTTATTTTTTATTTTTAGTCAAAATAATATCTAAAATTCGTGTGATGATGCAGCACTACAGACGATGACGGACTACTACATAGTTTTTAAATCTCCTAGGATGCAGCAACGAAGTATAATCGTTTTCAAAAGTTTGTAGCGGCCACATAAAGAACGCTACGCCAATACGTTGACACGATACGATATGGTTAAGAGTAGACACGTTTTCTTAACACGAAACAACTAGCGATATAATATGCTCGAAATGGAAGTTCAAACTTATCATAAAATCATTATTCATACATCAAGATGATGTTATGTAGATCCGGCCTTACCAATAATAATTGTGCTTATACTATAAATACGTACATACTGTATAGATATAAATATTGTCTTTGCTAATTAACGGCGTTTATCATTCATTAAAAGCAAGTTCAATTCAAGGTCCAGTACCATCATAACTACATTTTATTTAGGTACATCTTGTAATCACAAATGACGCCTACGCTTATCGGATCACAAATAATCGCGCCCACTCATATTTAAATTTGATTCAGCCAGCACAAATAATGTTTGATAACGTGTCAATAATCGAGTTTGTCAATTAGCATAACATGGTTTGGGAGATAAATGGAAATATTAGATTGCACACACAAACCAACAATTAATCTCTTACTGTAAACGCATACACCTTTTTCCGTTCAGTCGCGGCTAAATATAGAAAATTTCAGATATTTTACTCAATACCCCTTGCAAAATTAAGACAAATTTAATGATACCTGATTTGTTAAAATCCGTTTAAGCTACATAGCATGCAAAAGAAATAGGCATACAATACACACACTTGAAAAATATGGCCCTCAGATATTTGAAGGGATTTTATTTATTTAACAACCAGCGACTTTTCACTGATTATAATTTTTATTTATTTATTTATTCGGCCAAACTTATCACTAACATTACAGGATCTAATGACCTAATGCGCTAGTGAAAACAGTAAGCATTTTAATTATTATAACATATTATAAATAATGCAGCCCATGTGAATTCAATCATAGAACATACAAATATGTCAACTTCCTCATGGATAAGGTTAAGTAGTCTGGTGGCGTGAGTGCGCGGCGCCTCCCGCAGCAAGTTGGTGCGAGCGCGTGGCACCGCCAGCAGCCGCGGCCGTCGCCTTCGCCACACGTATTTCTCCGGCACATTCAAATATATACCCTCCAAGAAATAAGGATTGTCTATCTTTCCTCTTATTACTTGGAGAATATATGATACTAATGTTTTGTTATGTGTTGTTTGAGGCTACGTCCGAGTAGTAAAAGGAGTAAAACTTAGTCCAGCTCTATATGAGCTGGCACTCGGGACAGAAAAGCTAAATTATAATAAAGCACTAAAATTAATCTCTGTATCTGTAGGTAGTTAAAAGTTTACAAAATCACTACGTCTGTAGTTACTAGTATTTAGACTTGCTTTTCCTGTTATTTGCAGAACGTTTATATTTTTATTTATATAAAAAAAAATTAATGTTTTGTGTATACATATTTTATTAACGTAAACACTATAATGAGAGACCACTTTAATATATTAATTTCTTGATTTTTTTTCTGTGAGGTATGACGAATTTAGTTTATAAATTGATTTTAAAGCCCTATGCTGAAAATAAAACAAATAATATAGTCGCGTTTCTCCACAGCGAAAATGCAAACTATATTAAGCAACGAAAATGAGTAAAATCTGTTTTTTTTTTTTTAACATTAAAAGGAGACTTCATTCGACTATTTTTTGTTCACTATTTGTTCGTTACGCTTATTTATTTTGTATTCACTCTTGCCTTGCAGAAACTCACATTGTAATTGAATGAAATATAGATACTACTTATTTCACTCCTTTGGGCATGACAAACGATGTAGTAAATATTAATTTAAAAAAAACTTACACCTTTAATAGTGGAAATGTTGAGGATGAAATATTTAACTTACCTATTACATAGCATTATACTTCGGTTGGTATAAAAAAGTCAAAATTTAATTCATGAGACACAAAATAATCCCCTCCATAACATTGTATTATATAGTCATCAATCAATCCTATTTCGTAAGGTCATTCCACAATACACCACAACTCAATTTTTGAAATTGTTTTCGCGTGAACTCCAAGCTTCCTTTTTTGTCTTCTATAATAACGTCATAATTAATAGTTTTTTGATATGCAAAAAGAATGACAAAAATAATTTTGAATAACTCATTTTCAGAATCTCATTTATGCTTTCTACAAGAAGATGGATCGTCGTTTCCAAATTACCTTGAGCATTTCGTAAAGTAACTCTTTGATCTAGGTGCTTTTAAACAAAGTGTTGTGGACCGGAAGAGTTTTAACAACATTTTCGCGATAAAATATACTTAAAGCCATATTTTCCTTTTTAACTATAATAATCCATTAGCATCCAAAGAAGCGCAATAAATAGAAATAAAAATACATAATTTGTTTATTTTCAATTATCTTTATAATCAAACTCCTTACAAGAATTTATGTTCGTAAAATGAATAATTAAAATACAACAGTAAGAATATTATATAACATATGAATAAGGAACTGTGGTTGTCAACCCCAAGCGTGGTAAATTTGAAGCAATCAACAGTTTAACGGGAATATTTTCTAATATAATAAATAATATTTTCTTTGCAGATGGGCTGACAACCGCAGTTTTTTATTATTTTGAATTGTTCAGGAGAAAGCTCAGGAGAAAGCAGCTGCCAGACTTCTGTATTAGTTACACTATTTCACCACTTACCAAGTGATGATGTATCGTAGTGAATACTCTTACACCGCTACTCTACAAAATAATTTAAAAAGTGAAAATATAAACTATACCTTTAGTTATCTTTATATACAAATTTGCGCATCTGTCTCCGTCGGCACTCACTCAGAAATACGAAATATGATATGATCAGCCGCTTCGAACGCAATCGTTGTCATCTGATGGTCAACGTGGCAATGGCGTTGCATTTTCGCAGTAACCAACGATCAAAAAGAAGTCACTGCGTGACCATGAGCTACAAAATACTTATTACCAATATCTGAGTATGTGAGCATCCTGTACTAGTACTTCTCGCGTTTCATGATGTCTGTATTATAAGGAAAATAGGATGAACCTCACGCAAACCTCTCACGGACTGCGCACGGTTCGTCCACGACTGACGCTTTGACACCATGTGATTTAAGCAAAGCAAGCAAGTAAGCGGTGGCTTACCAACGAGTAATTACACCCGCTGTCTGTACAAATGTCACAGTACGGTCGTAAAATTACGCAGATCCTGATTTGCTTGGGCATTTCATTCAGATTCGGCCCATAATTTCTCACGCATGTTACTTTTTGCCTAATTTATACATGATATAAATATACGCGGTTTGGGAGCCGCACCTAGAAACTACTGTCGCGGATACAACATAAGTGCATCCCGTATTTTTAATAATGTTGCAGAAATCACAGTTATACGGCGTATCATGAAAAGCCCAGGTAGGTTACCGATCTGCCAAATTAAAACAGAAACAGAAACATTTTTTTTTCAAAATATGTTATAAATATGTATATTGAAAGTCACTCTTGTGATTATTTTACAACTGACTCGAAAAACTTTGTATGGAAAGAATCGGCGAGAAACCCAGTAGAACTTCTATTAGAAACAGCTTGGCCGCGATCACGGCGATTCGAACGACGTGGGAATATAGGACGACGTCCTTTACTCCTAAAGCTCGCTTGTCCTGGAAATGTCGCGCCATTGTACTTCCTTCCTTTTTCAAATCCTTTCTATCGTTCAATCCATTTTAGTCTAAAACATTTTTAAATAGTAACCGTAGTAAAAATTTATTTTATCAAAATAAAAGTTAAATTTCGATAGATATAATATAACAATTTATGTAAACTCGTATTATTATCTATACATTATGTATAAAATTGAAGTTTCGGACCGTAATATCGAAATAGATGCCATTCATTAAACTCAAGGGGTTGTTTGCTCGCTATAAAGACATGAAAACCCATTTATTTTTTATTTCTATCTGTCTGTCTGTCTGTCCGGGCTAATCTTAGGGATGGCTGAACCGATTGTGAAGGAACTTCACGAACAGATACAGAGTAATGCCATGTGTGATCTCAGCTATATCATAAGCTGAAAAGCTTGGTGATTTTTTTGGGTAAAATTGAAAAATTGATAAAGTTATTAGACCCCACCCAGAAAATACCGGGGCGGGTCGCTAGTTTATTATATATCTCAAAAATATATGTATAGCTAGTCGTCCATGGTTTTTATTATAATTAGATATTTTTTCATAAATATTAAGCCAGTGTAAGGTGATGGTATTTCTTAGAAAACTTACGAACTAAAGATATATTTTTAATACCGACAGGTATAAATTATATATCTTGGATAAAAATCTAGGTATAATAAAACATTATAATGATGTGTACACGGTAAACCATGAATACACGTATATACATTATGCTCTACCACGTGCAACCAAGGTTCAATTATGTTATCATGGATGTAGCATAAATGGCTTGATCGTGGAGGAACCATGTTCTCATAGAATACCAGCGTAAAAACGCAGCTTAATGCTGCTGTGCTACGTATGTACATGGGACATATATTACTGGC